CTCAGAACTGGGCTTCGTGGATATTGCCGCAGGCTTTTGCACACGCGATTACGCTGTCTATAGGAAAAACAACAATCTAGGCCCTAATACACCAGCTGTGCATTTACAGATACTATTATGCCTTGGAAATTCTTTTTGGTCTACAGAATTCCCTAATATTCTTGCCTTCTCTCGCCTTATGTTAATTTCCAACTAACCCTTTCGATGTAATACTGCAATCTTAATTTTGAATGTCGTGTGATCTGAGTATTTGCTGTAGGATCAACAAGAATATTTCTCGAACCACCTTATGAGATTTACTTGCTGAGCAAACAATGTTTTCGCTCTATGACGATATACTACAAGTTTTCTCGTACAAAAATCCAGTTGGCTGTAAGGCAAAGTGCCGCCACTTCTGCGTAGTGCTTAGAACAAACTCACCGGCATTGGTATGTAGTAGTAATAAGGAAATAATTTATATTCAATTTCGTATGTCAAAGCTACCCGTGATTATAGTACTGCCAGTGGTTTTTTCGCGTAAATCAAATAAATTCCCTCTGAATGTGAGTTTTAAGGAAGAGCGGCGGTTAACCTAACGGCCACTACGATCGGGAGAGGTTGGGTGTGGAATGAAGCTAGGCTTCGACTCGAACGTCGTCGCCAGCATGTCACAATTCCAACTTGAACAATCATCCGTCATCAAAACTGCCCCTCCTGGGCGCCAACTCGAGTTCTCACCTAAGGTATGCTAGGCTAAATAGTTAACAATAAAATAAATAGCTGACAATACAATAGTAGCTGAACAGCTATGTTACAGAATGAACCGATCGACTTGGCGCCGCTCACGCAGTCGAATCTGCAGGATCTGTCGAAGATGCAGCCAATCGACCTGAATTACTACAATACAAATTACCAAAGAGCGTACGAGTACGCAGCGATAGGACTCGGCGGGCATAATCAGTCCTCGCTAATCCCCACTCCCTCAACTGCCGGCCAACTTTACTATGGGTTCCCAAACGGTGTTGTGCAGCAGGACTGGGGACGGCCGATGGATACCTACACGGCCTACCCGCGAGCCTCTACCTTGCAATACAACCCGCAGGAGAACCAACAGGAACGAGTGTACAAGGGAGTGGATATGCCAAGCCCGGTGGATTCCGGGATAGGAGCGGATTTGTCGATGATCACCGGGGCGAAGGAAGAGTTCTTCCAATCAGATTCGATGCTCGATCGATCGGCCGAACGAGCGCTGAGTCACAGGGATTCGCCAGTAGTTATACCAAAATTGTAAGCACTTTTTAGTCACTGGTTCCCGTCAGTTGCATCGAACTGTCGTCGATTGACGCAGCGTCGAACGATTCGATAACAACTCGGCTCGGAACCCAGTTTTGTGTCGCCACCTCGCAACCACTCGCCATGTTTGTTTCAGACACAACCCGCTAGGTTTTCAATATGTTCTCGAAGCGCCGATCTCGACGTCGATCCGGAAGGAGGACGACCGGATGACCTATGTGAACAAGGGCCAGTTCTACACAGTCTCCCTCGACTACATCCCCGACATCAACAAGCCGCTGAAGAGCGTTACCGTCAAGGTATGTGCTGTCGTTGTGTTGAGTTGTTTGCATCGCTGTAACTGCCTCTGCTGCCGCCGCCGCGTGCTTTTCCTACAGTAGTCGTCGCCAGCGGCGGGGTACTGTAACGGATGGCGCCCAGCAGCAATTCTACGTGTGCTTTCCCCCGTTTGGAACGCGGAGGTCGTAACACAACCATCACGCAGGAAATGGGATTCGAACAATATCA